CCAAACTGTACAAGAGGAGCGGGCAGCTTGAAATGTGTTGGAAGAAAAGCTGAGTGTTAGGAGAGAAGCTGAGGCAGGGTTGCATGTCTGCTAGACTTGCTGGCTCCTTGCTTCTAGCATTCCCATTATCTTAAGCAGCCATATGTTTCTCATTCACTTGATACACCATTTCCTTTCAACCCCCACATCCTCACCACCTGTTTCTTTGTTTGAGCAACAATAAATACAATAAATAGTGTGGGCTCCCAGAGCTCATGGCCTTCCCAGCCTCCATACTTGTGATGGCCCCCTGGTCCCACTTTCTCTCTCAAACTCTTTCTCATTCCTTTGACTCTGTTGGACTTCAGCGCCCCCACGACCTGGTGTTGGGTCTGATCACCCCAACAGAAATGTACGCCAACCTCTGCATGTTTGAGTATGCCGAGGTAACCCACCCCATCCCAGGCCCAGGCTCTGGCTTGGAGCCCACTGGTGTTCTCACCCGTGGCGTCCAAGTTGTTTTCCGAGACTGGTGCAGACAAAAACTAGCAATGGTCTCAGAAAGGATGTGGGGAAACTGGTAAGTAAACAAAGGACCCATCTACAGCCACTGGTTGAAACTCACCTAAAACCGACCTTTAACACTGACACCAAAGGGGCAGACTATGGCAGTTCAGACCTTCATCAGCGACGGAGCTGGATGGCTGTGGGTCTGCGCCAGCACAATCCCTTCATTGATTTGAGGGCTCAGTGCTTCAGGGCTGTCTCCCACAAATCCTCTCAATCCTTGTCACAAGCTGCCAAGAATTGGTGTCTTCAGGCGGGAGCCGGTCCTGCCAATCATACAGGATGACATGGTGCCTGCCAGCCCAGTTTCCCATAGCACCTGCTGATTGTCCTGGGCTTCGAACTGGGCTTCTGGGAAGTCAGGCAGAGCCTCCGCCCTCCTGTGTTAGCGCAGCATGCCTCACGCCTACCAGCTGCAGAGTGGCTACCATGTGGTTGCGGTGGGTGATGGTGGAGATTCCCCTTTGCCTTGGGATGGCCCCCATGAACCTTACTCCCCAGCAGAGCTGGGCCTTTTAAGGCAGGTGTGGGAGAGGAGCTTCCTGGACCTGGCTCCTGATGGCTTCTGTGGGAAGGAGTTGCATTAAGGAGCCCAGACCAGTCAAGACATTTACAGTAGAGCCTAAGCAAGGTTCAAAAAAGCTTGAATGCATTGAGCAATGAGGGTCTTCCTTCTACAGAGGGGCTTTGTTAACCTGCCTTTTCCGGGAGTGTCAAAAGTGGCTCTCAGTGTGTTATGAAGTGACTCATCAGCCACAACCTATTAGTGGGCTACTAATGGTAATTCTCCAGCTCACAAGTTCAAGATGGAAAATCTTCCCTTTTTTCTGCTTTTTTTTTTTCTTTCTGAGACGGAGTCTCGCTCTGTTGCCCAGGCTGGAGTGCAGTGGCGCGATCTCAGCTCACTCCAAGTTCCGCCTCCCGGGTTCACGCCATTCTCCTGCCTCAGACTCCCGAGTAGCTGGGACTACAGGTGCCCACCACCATGCCCGGTTAATTTTTTGTATTTTTAGTAGAGATGGGGTTTCACCGTGTTAGCCAGAGTGGTCTTGATCTTCTGACCTCGTGATCCACCCACCTCCCAGTGATGGGATTACAGGCGTAAGCCACCACGCCCGGCCTTTTTTCTGCTTTTCTAGATGGCTGTGCTCTTCCACCATGTTTGATCCTGGGGCTTAAGGTGTGTTGGTGACCTGTGATGTTGCCCAGGACTTACTGTTCATCAGGACTTGGACGAGCTCCGGGCCCCAGCCTGTTTTTCACCTTAGTGATTTCTTCACTCCGTACCTGAGACGCAGGGTGTTCAGACTCCCTCTGCCTTTTCCTCATCACCTTTCCTACCCTCCCTCAGGCCCCATCACAGACACCTAGAAGATTTTATA